ATATAGTTATAATAATTAGTGTAGCTATATGAAATAGTGATATTATAATATGTATATATATTATATATTTATAATAAATGAAATGTGATAAAAAAGTGCAATTTTAATATAAAGTGAAAAAAGTGCAATTATTAAGTTAATTAAAGAAAAAAGTGCTGTATTGAAGAAAGAAATGGATCAACAACAGCCTTCGTTATCATGTGGCGTCGAGGAAAAGAAGAGGAAATGTGCGAGAAGAAAATTCCAATATGCATGGTTAAATATGAATATTTTCAAAGATTGGTTGGCTACAGAAATTACAAAATAAAAAATATATTTATTTTTATTCATGAACAGCATTCTGTTTCTTCCCACAAACTTTCTTTTTTCCCTACAATCCTTTCATATTTTCTTTTAGGTGAGGGATCTTACGATATCTTAAAATAGATACGGCGCTGAGGTTACCACAGCGTTTGCTCAATGCGCGTGCGCGAAAATATATCCCGAACTCGCAGCACTGGTGGCACACAGCTCGTCGCGGAGCGTCTACAGACCGCGATGGGCGTGATAAACGCCAAACTTTACGCGGTTATTACTAACAAACTAGACGCGTTATCGCTAAATAGAAGAGGACTTTTCTGATCCTCCCGCTTAGCTCTATGCCCCTATGGAGTCGGTTAGTTACAATTTTGAGACATTATATATATATATTTTTTTTTTTTCTTTAAACATGGCGTTATTATATTGATAATTTTCGATTTTTATGAAGAAAAATATATAAGAAAATATAAATATAAAACGATCTTCGAGCGGTCGCAAACCCTTAAAAAGTTATATCCTCCCTTGAAAAAATGCATTGTCGTACCGCTGAACAAATATTACTCGTGATAGATAATTTCCTGGCAAAAGAACTTGTATTGCTGTATGTGACGAAATTTCCATTAGCTTTCCCACACATATAGTGGATATCTGCCTATTCTGTGTTAGAATAAATTGTCATCTTAACACTATTTTAATTCTTAAACGTTAAATAAAGACTGATTCCAATTTCAAACATATCTATTGGATAATTTATTTACTTTTATTAGAAGAGGTTAATGAAAGATAATGCATAACGCATCAATGCAAAACATGTCTGTTATAAATAAAAAATGTTTATAACTTGGAAAGGAAGTATTTCCGGGTCTATATTTATATGACGTTTTTTATTCTTATAGAAATATGCTCTTAAAGTTTAGCCACTTATTTCTGAAACATCTTGTATGTATAACACGTAACATATTACTAAAAGATAATATAACAGTTATACATCCAAATAGCCAAATTTATAAAAGCAAATTTTGCACAATGTTTGTTGCACACTTCGTGAGCAGCTTGCTAACAGAACTACAGGAACTAATGGCAGATTATGAAAATAGCCTGACGATAGAAATCAAGAAATACTTATCGTTCCAATGTATTTAAATGGAACACATTGCAAATCCTGCTCACTTTCTGCTGTTAGATTCTGTTAATAGACTTTGTTGACAGAACACGAGTCGAATGTGGATACAAATGTTTATGGATCTGTCGACAGATCCTGGTTAAATCTGTTCACAACCTATCGGCAAACTGCTAATAGATTGTTTATTAGGTATCGTCCATAAGTATTTGCCCACCTCGTAAATTTCAAACTATTGTAAGAGAAAGAAAAATTAAGAAATTTTAAGTGGAAAATATTTATATTCACATACATAAAAAGTAATACACAACATGAAAAAACGAATATTAAAAGTCTAATTAGAGTTTGGCCTCGTCAATGTGTTCGCCTTTGTTTTTAATGACAGCTTTGTAAATTCTCGGCATCCTTTTTAACAGTTTGAGTAATATTTCGGTCAATGGCGTAGGCAGAAAAAAGTTTCGGGGGAGGCTGTACATTTTATTTTTGACGAGCAAAAAGAAGGTCATTCGAAAAAATTTTTCTCACATTTACAAGGGACATGACAGAACATTGCTCGGAAATTTGCTCTCCTACTGACCTGCAAATGAAGACCCGGCGCTGGTTATCAAAAACTTCAAATTTTGATTCATCATTCCATACGACATTTTTCCAGTTTTCAATTGTCCAATCCTTGTATTTTTTACCCATTGCAATCTTTTTGTTTTATTAATCTTCCTCAAAAGTGGTTTCTTAATCGCAATTCTTTCATGAAGATCTACTCCTGCAAGACGACGTTTTACAGTGGTGGTACTAATTGGAGTATCCCGGTGTAAGTTAACGCGCGAAGCGATTTCCGGTTAAACGCCTGTTACGTTTCGAGCAAACCACCAAATGTCAGTCCTTAGCTGCAGTTGTGATGCGCGGTCTTTCAGACCGTTTTTTGTTCGATAATGTTTCACCGCTTTTAAATTTACGAACATGATAATAGTTCGCCGTGGTAATTTCATTTCTCGGGCAATTTGGCAATTGCTCATGTCATTTTGATGTTTCGCAATAATTAGTGCACGGATTTCAAGCGAAAATTTTACATTTTTAAGTATAATTAATTATACTGCTGGCAAAAGACCGTTTACCATCAAGACCATCAAGACACAAATAGAACTGAGGCTGGAAAACCTGGAGGTGCAAAAACGATTATTTTGCACATTAAAATAAACAGACAAATGAATTGAAAAATATTAAACAAGTTACATCTCATAAACAAATTGTTATAAGAGATCAAACTTGTAAACAACACATATTACGATGTTAGCGAAACAAATACTTTGGTGTAATTAAATAGATTTACAATGAAATAAGCAAAATAATTAATTCAAAAGATTATAGAATATATTATTTTGTCTTTATTTACAATTAAAAATTAGTTATTGGATTTTGCTGTATTGAATTTTTGTTAAGTAAGAAAATAATGAGATGGGCAAATATTTATGAACGGTAGTTCATATTAATAGATAAAATGTTATAAGTGAGAAAAGTACAAATTCTAATTTACGGCAGTCATGAATATATAATTTTATGCGGAGATTATAAGTTGTTAATAAAAAAAATATTAGATAATTTATAAGAATATGTTTCCAAAAACGCAATAATTATAAAAAATGATATTTAATAAGCAAAATAATGTGAAAATATTCTGCTAAATATAATATTTTAAATAATCATTTATTGAAATTTATTCACTCCCATCATTATAAATAATATTAGTGAGAGTGATTGTTATTGACAAAAGTAACTATCATTAATAAAAAAAGTTTACTATTGAGTTGTCGGAAAAGTCATGACATATTTTTTCTGTTTTTCAAAGGTCATTTATTTATACAAAGAACAAAGATCAATCAATGATATATTGCCCGTTTTATTCGATAACCTTTTGCCATCTTTCAGTAACCTTCATAATTCCTCGTTCATAGAAGAACCTGTTTTTACGGTGAAAAATTGAACAAGGTGCTGATTTACAGCCTCATCTGAATTGAACGTTATACCACGCAAGGAGTTTTGAAGAGAGCGAAACAAGTGGAAGTCTGACGGCGCAAGGTCAGTCGAATATGGTGGGTGTGGCAACACATCCCATCCAAACTCCAATAATTTTTGACGGGTGATCAAACTTGTGTGTGGTCTCGCGTTGTCGTGATGGAACACAACTCCTTTACTATCAACGAGCTCTGGACGTTTCTGGATGATGGATTCGTTCAAATTGTCCAATTGCCGACAGTACACATTCGAATTGATTGTTTGGTTCCTTGGTAGGAGCTCAAAAAACACGACACCTTTAAAATCCCACCACACTGAAAGCATAACCTTTCTCTGATGAATGTTTGCTTTCGATGTCGTTTGAGGCAAATCATCACGTCGGGACCAAGACCGTTTGCGCACCACATTGTTGTAAACAATCCACTTCTCATCACCAGTTATCAATTGCTTCAAAAAAGGATCGTTTTTCGCACGTTTAATGAGTATATTGCAGATGTTTATACGTGCCGTCAAATGAACTTTGAGTTCATGAGGAACCCAAATATTGAACTTGCTTACGTATCCCAACTTCTTCAGGTGGACGTGAATGCTTGAATGATGGATGTTCAATGTTTCTGCAATCTCTCGTGTCGTGTAACGTGGTTTGACTCGATTAATGCCTTTATTTTGTCGTCATCAACCTCGATACGCGCTCCTGATCAAGGAACGTCTTTGAGATCAAAATCACCAGCACGGAATTTCGTGAACCATCTTTGGCACTGATGTTCTTGTATAGCATTGTCACTGTAAACTTTACGCAACTTTTCACAAGCTTGACGCGCGTTCTTCCTTTTATGGAAGTAAAATAGTAATATATGGCGAAAATGCACAGTTTGATCTTCCATCTTCAACTTGATATAAAATCTCCAAAACTCAACCAAATCGCTCAATTTTTGTTTTAAAATGAAGCTAAAACTGTCAGCTGTTAAATGACGTAGCAATAATATAGATGCGAATGACTCTAGTACTTCCAAAAATGAATTAGCGCCATCTGTTGCAAAAATGTCATGACTTTTCCGATAACCCAATATAAGTTTACTACTTTATTATAAGAGTGGGTATAAGTTTTATCATAATGATCATCGTTTTTATATACAGGATGTTGAAAAAGTTCCGAGTCAGTAAGATATCTTAAAAATGAAATAATTTAGAGAAAAATATTTCAAAAATTGTAACAGGTAAAAAAATTGTTGAATATCAAATGACACATTAAGTAGGAATATTAATTAGGTTTTTTAAGCTGAGTCTTCAAGGTCAGATAATGATCATCTTGAATTTTTTAAATAGAATACTTCAACTTCGAGAACTCATAACTCAGAAAGTAATCAGAATATTAGTCAATCACAGTTGATGAATACGTCAACAAAATATACTGAAAGCAATGTTAATTTTATCTACTAACATATCGTATTAAAGATTTATAGCCCTTCTACGTTAAATATTGTATATTGACTATGGAATTTCTATAAAAGCAGTATTAAGCATTTTTTATATAATACGTTTTATGTTAAGAGAACATATTTTTTAATAGAACCTGTATCTAAATTTTGGTGAAATTGGACAAACAATAAAAGAACTGATGGATGAGTTCCAAAAGAAAGCAAAGAAACACCAAAAAGTTGAAAGTATAGCCGACATGAAACACTTTGTAGAAACATATCCACTCTTTAAGAAACTTTCTGGTACTGTATCAAAACATGTTACAGTAGTTGGAGAGCTTTCATCTCTTGTTGAAAAGCATAATTTATTAGAAGTATCTGAGTTGGAGCAAGAATTAAGTTGCCAAACTGATCATTCATCACAGGTATTTTGTTTTCTAACATTATTTATATACCTAAATATTTTCGACATCTGTTATTAATTATTTCTTTTATAGTTACAGAAAATAAAGACACTTATCAATAATCAAAAAGTACGAGATATTGATACTGTTAGACTTGTGATGCTTTATGCACTTCATTATGAGAAACATGCAAATAATGACATTAATGGTTTAATGGAATTACTTAAGAAAAGAAATGTTTCGGATAAATATATTAAGGTATGTTCTTAATAATTAACATTTTATAAAATTGTTTAATTATAAGATTACTATTTACATTCGTAAATGTATAGTGATTCGGACGGGGAATATATATTATTATTAGTAATAAAAATTGATAGTAAAATAAGAAATCGGAAAAAAGTATTTCTAATGTATTTTTCTTTTTTATGTTATTACATACAATGATTTTATGATATTATATAGAAAATAATCTGCGATTAAAGTCACATATAAAAATATATATTCTGGACATATTCTATCCAGTCTACATGAGTTAAAATTTTGACACTAAAATATTATTATAGTTAAACCCATGCTATGAGTCTGCAAAGTAATAAACATAATAAAAATATGTAAAATATGTAACAATATACAGACAAATTTTTTATATCGTCAGACATTAGTGCTCGTTGTGTATTATGACGAAAAATGACATTGCAAATTGTACAGAATTGCGCTAGACATTAGCAGTCCTTCCAGAGGATTCTTTCGAAGAGAATCTTTTGGAAGAATTATCCTATCCAATACGTGCCCAGCACATGTTATTATCGGGATCGTGCCTTAATTTCGACGAAATCAATATTACAGCGAATTAAAACACGGTTCCATGAATCAGCGAGCAGCATACTAGACAACTCATCATGCTTATGATTAATTAGATTCGCGAATACAATAGATATGCGAAAAATATATCGATATCTATTGTCGACGTGCCGCTCTCAAAAGGTGACTAAAGTTTATTTGGTCCAGTAACCTGTATCCATAGATGTCGCGCCCTCCATAGAAGGATGAGGGCGTACTAAGTGGCGGCGGGACGCCGTGCGTTCGAGATCTGCGTATCTTTTCGTTCCAGAAAGAGAAAAATATCGAGAGCGCGGTTTTGCTAGGCCGGGACTCAAACCCGCGTCTTTCGCTTGCTGGGCGACTGCTTTAAACCACTGAGCTACCTGACACTCTACGCTCACGATATTCTCTTTTCCCTAAATAACGTTCAGAGATGCCGTTCGAAAGCGACATCTCTGGCGCGATCCCGAGCGCACGGCGACTACAAAGAGAAATAATGTTACTGTACCAAATGGTCTTAGCCTATATTGGAGCTAGCTACTAGTGGAACTCGCTTTTTCGTCGTCTCAATCTCACCGCAACCGGAACCGTCCAGTTTTCTACCGCAACTTTCTTAATCGCACTTCTATTCGAAGTCTAAGGGCGCTTCATTATTCGGATCACAAGTTTTCCGCGATTCGGACCATCGGCCGAGGTGAAACGGTGCGTTCGAGATGCGTTTGAAGAAGTTGTTGCGGCTTATTGTTATAGTTGAAATAAAAGCACAAAAAGGAAGACCAAGTGGATTCAATCATACTATCTCCCGATCCTATCAGTGCGAAAAAAAGATCTCGCCAAACTGGTGCTTCCGCGTTCAAAGCTGGGCAGAACCAGCATTTCAGGCATCTGACCCTGTCACAAGTCAAAACGCCGATACAAATATAAAAAGTATATATACATACATATATATATATATATATATATATATATATATATATATATATATATATATATATATATATATATA